AGACATTGACGAGTGTTCTCAAAACAGCCACAACTGCAGCAATATAACTGCCACTTGTAATAATACCAAAGGGTCGTTCAAGTGTATTTGTAAACCAGGATTCAGTGGTGACGGATACAGCTGCACAGGTACTGAATAGTATTCAGAACATGATGCTGTGTCGTATCAGAGAAAAACCTATTAAAAAAAACCTTTACAACTGGCCGAACTGAGGCACCATAAATGGTAATCTGATATGATTCAGAAGATGATGCTCCGGTAGATAATTCCTTAGTGGACGACTGAATGCTTTTAATCAACGCAGAAAACCATAAAAAACTCTGAAACTCCATGCACAGCTTTAAAAGGGTTTAAAAGGCTTTATTCAGTCTTCGTGTACTTTTGGGATAAACTTAATCGGAGCGAGGACTCACCTATCTCACTCGTCTGTTTATGGAACTAAGACGAGCCTTAGCTGCAACTAGGAGATTCTTAAAAGGAGCAACTTTCCTATAGCTTTTGTAGCGATGTCCCACACTTCCCCATCGTTATATTTTATTTCGGTATTGGATACCAACTGTTGACTTTATTTTAGACATTGACGAGTGTGCCGAAAATATCCACAATTGTAGCAAGAGCAACGCCACTTGTACTAATAGCAAGGGATCGTTTAATTGCTCTTGCAAGACTGGTTTGAGAGGGGATGGATACAACTGCTCAGGTATTTCATACTATTCAAAAATCGATATTTTGCGTGTAAAACGTACAGATCTACATCTGAGAATTACAATGCATATTTTGGACTTAAAAAGCTTTACTCACCCTGTCTATCATCCGAAGTCGCGTTCAAAATCATAATCAGTATTGACTTTTACCATCAAAGTTTGCAAAATTTTTTAAGCATAAAACGCTTTAAAGTCTCCTTTCCTCCTTGCGCCCCACCCCTCCTACCAGCGCTGCAGCCGACTTATCATTATTATAGTTATGGGTATTATTATTATTATAATTATTATGGTATATCATTATTATTATAATTATGGTCTGTTGATTCCATTTAAGACATCGACGAATGTGCCGAAAATATCCACAATTGTAGCAAGATCAACGCCACCTGTACCAACGGCAAGGGATCATTCAACTGTTCTTGTAATCCTGGTTTCAAAGGGGATGGATACAACTGCACAGGTATGTCATATTCTTCAGAGTGCGAGTACGTGAATCTATCAACCTCCCTACCTGTGTACCCGTTCCTTGTACATTTACCACGCAATGCGTTTAATTTCAGGCAATGACATTAATGGAAGTGAAAGTTACCACCGTTATTGTAAAAAGCTACGAAAGTCGTGATTTATGTGCGTCCGTACATTATGTGTGGAGACAGATAAATCTCGCATTCATATGGAAACCAAACAAAGTTTAACGAAGGGGTAAGTTCGAACTATTGAAAATGATCAAGAGATTTGGCGTCGCTTGAATTTTGGTTACTTTAAGTGACGTCATCTACTAAACCCTGGTTGTTCGAAGGGTAGATAACGCAAACCCCTGCATTGATA